CTTCTCGGCCTATTCTTTCCCCAGAGATGGGCTCTGTTCTGACTCCTACCCTCCAGGCCTTTGGAAAAATCTCAGATTCCTCAGCCGTGTTCTTGGTTCGGATGCCCTGATTGGATTCTGCCCTTTGGACAGTCTGCCATGGTCTGAGCCCTTCCTGTGAGCTTCCAGGACCCCAGACAGCGGGGCTCACTTGCACACACTGACCCCCTTTCTGTTCCCTCCTACGCAGCCCCGATGGAGGAAGAGTCTAAGCCAGCGGCTGTCACTGCACACGGGCGCTCCGGGGGGCATCCTGACGCTGGGGCCCCACCCCACAAAGGCCCTGATATAACTAGTCTCGGGTGCAGCCGGGGCAGTAGGGTTTTTAGAAATCTCCCTTGGTGATTCTAAAGTGCAGTCCAAGTGGAGAGCTCTTGCTCCAAATCAAGGAGCCTGGGAAGCCACTCCCACCCAGCAGGTGAGCTCAGTGGTCATTCTGTTCTAAGCCCGGCCACAGGGAGTGGCTCACGAGCCAGTGACGTGGTTCCTGGGGGCTGGTCAGTGATGGGCAATCTCAGCCCCGTCCGGACCTGCTGAATCCTTACCTGCACGTTAGCCAGACCCCAGATTCCTGAGCACGTTGCGCAGAAGGGCCTTGGACGTGATGAATCGTGAGGGGCCTTGCAGCCCTGGCAGCCTGTAATTTGTCTCCACCGCCCAGCCCCAACACCCCCACTCATGGGTGGAGTTTTAAGAGATGATGTGGCCTAGTGAGTTTTCCTATGTTAATGGCAGTTTATGTCTCCTTTGTCACTACTTTTTAGATAGGCCTTTAACCAGCAGAAATGGATTTTCCATCATCTCTAAATAATTCCCTTACTACTAACCTCATTTATAAAGCTGTTCACCCCCAATGAGCTCGTGACATAAAAATAAAAGTCGTCCCTACCAAGTCCATTTCCTTGAGAAAGTCTGGGTTCACGCAGGTTCTTTCACTTCCCTGGGGCCATTTCCACTGAACTTTGACCTATGAGAGCTTCCTGGGTGTAGGTGCTTCATGTCCCCTTGGGGGGTTTCCTCACATGCCATTAAAATGTGCCAGGGGTCACCAAAAGCTGACAGCCCTTGACTGTGTTTTGTCACTACTGGGAATCTATCCCAAAGACCTAGACCCAAATATGGCAGAAAGCTTTATGGGTAAAATATTCCTGTTACAGAGATAAACGTGTAATCTAAGTGCGAAATAACGTAAATGCCCAACAACAGGCGGGAGAGTGGCCCGCCATTAGGATGTTGTCCGCACATTTTGAACTATCTGTCAGAGGCAGGCAAGTGCTGGGGCAGGACCAGGAATGTGAAACGGTGTGCCCGGGTCACACAGCGGCTCGTGGCAGCAGACCAAACAGCCCTAAAGCCACGTTTCCCGAGGGCTTGGTGCCTCATGTCGCTGCGTCTCATGATGGCCTCCTTGGTGGCCCTCCTTGCGAGGGAGCAGCATCGCATATCTGAGGATGAATCACTGCCCGCAGCACATTCCGGCATCTTCCCGTACAGTCTGAGTTCAACAGCAACGCAGTAATGGCCATTTCTGGCAAACGGGCACTTTGCCTGTCTCTGCTGCCCTTTCAGGGACAGAGAAACTGGGATCCAGAGAGGGCAAGCGACTTGCCTGAGCAAACCCAGCCCAGAGGAGGCAGAGTGAGATGGAAGGGTGTCGGCCGGCTGCTCCGGGTGCAGTTTATGCCTCCTGTGGCTCTGTGACCGTCCCCACATTGTTGGCAGGACGACAGCTGGGGGACTTTGAAGAGTGGAGAGGGAGGGCTCCCAGAGGGGTTTGCATCCAAACAGATGCAGCAGAAACCAGAGGGCGGCTGGAATGGCCTGAGGGCTAGTGGGTGGGTGGCCGCAGCTCCCCTGTGTCATGTGATGACATGTTGTGGGTCTCAGCAGTCTGGGCCTCTGCCCATACCTCCCCTCCCTGCAAGGCCTGGGGCCCTGGGGGTGCCATACCCACCCTCCCTTGGGTGCAAGGGCCTTGATGCCTGCCAGACCTGCCCAGGTGGGGGTGTCTGTCCTGCTGAGACCTGGCTGCTGGGGGACCACACTGTGAACTCCCAAGGGCTGGGCTATCCTGGTGTTGGAGAATGCAGCTGAAGTTCCTAGATGGATTCTGGGAGTGGGCCTACAGCTGGGGACCCACTTGGTATGAGGAGAGGGGCTCTGGGCCAGCGGCCGAGTGAGGTCCACAGCACGGGGGGGTGTCCAGCACTTTCGATGGGACATGTACCTCCTGGCCCTGTGTTATGCAATCCTGAAACGCCACCACGAGGCGGGGGTGGGACCACTGCCACCCCACTTCTCAGGTGAGCCCGGAGGCTCAGGGTGGTGAAGTGACTGCCCAGGAGATGGGCTAGGGTGTGACCCCAGGAGTGGCCTGGGCTTTGACGCTGGTATCGATCCCCTGACAGCAGCACAGAGGCTACAGTCTGGTCTCTGCGGGCAGGAGGCATGGCTCTGGCTCCTGACACTGTCTGTCACTCTGTCACTTTCCAGCAGTCTGGTCTTCAGAGTGACTGACTGCTCTCTGCCTCAGTTTCCTTATCTGCAAAGAGAAGGCAGTAAAGATACCTACTTGTTGGTGCTGCAGGCATGGAATTGGCCCTTGCCATGGGCTGGGACCACGACGCACAGCTCTGGGCATCTGGCAGCCCCTCGAAAGGCCAGCTGTCACAGACCCGATTATATCAAGGGAGGCCGAGCCCCATCTATCATCCCTGCTGTGAGATCAAGGGAGTCTCCCTTTCCCTTCATTGTCACGTGTGAAAGTGGACAGTGAAGTGAGCGTGGGCATCCAGGAGGAGATGGGAGACGTGGTTGAAGCTGATGTGTCAGACGCCAAGTGTCTGCAGAGATCTTGGACCAGCATGTTTTTATTTCAAATATTCACACCGTCTTCAGGGGCCTTCCTGGTCCTTGTAGAGGTATGTTTCCCTCCGACCGTCACCAGGTAACCAACAGAAAATTCAGTGTGTGAAACGTGTTTGCTTGTCCAAGTGCCGGTGCAGGAGGGAGAAGTCGGGGAGGAAGCTCAGCGAGGCTTGGGGGCCTCTCGTGCTAAAAGAAAGGATGCCCGCCATCTTCCCTCCAGGCTGAAGTGGCGTCTGACAAAGCAGAGGGAGAGGCTTCGTTAGGCGTTATTTTTTAAAGTCGTATTTGCTAAGGAGCTGTTGCATTCATGTGACTCCAGAACAAAGGAAATTAAACGCATTTTGCTGAGTTTAAGTTGGTGGCAGCTGGTTCTGACGGGGCCTGGGGAGCAGTATGCTTGTCCCCATGGCCTCCGCATCCCCCCTCCCATGGGGCTGCCGTCCCACGGTGGGGAAGCCAGGGGCCAGGGTGGGAGCACAGGGCAGCCGGATGGCTGTTTCTGCCACCACCCAACTGGGCCTTTCTCATTAACCCGCGGCCACAGCCATCCCATAAGTCAAAGGAAGCCGGAGAGGAAAGTGGACCCGCACGTGTGGATGGGGACGGATACAAGTCTCTTGCTTGGCTAATTGGGGGTCTCTTGTCATCTCAATTAGGGTCTGCTCTTTGTCTGAGCAGACAAGATAAGAAGGAAGCTGGGGTTTTCTAACGAGCCGCCTGGCAGGGCCATGTGGTCATTTCCAAGTGTCCAGTGTCAGCAAGCATCCTTGTCTATTTGGCAGTGGAATTGTGTTCCTAAAAACTTCGGTGCAACGCAGCGAGGAAAGCCAGAGGCGACTCTAAGCCCCTCTGCCGTCTAGCTGAGAGCTTGCTTTGAGCCATGCAGTCGCTGCTCCTTTACGGGACAGCTTTTCCTTCTGAGCTGCTGACCTGTCTGTTCATCAGAATCACGAAAGGTCTGGCCAGCCAGTTCCTCCCCAAAGCCACAACTGCTTTTTGGGAACAGAAGCAGCATCAATTTCTAAAGCCAGCAGTGCTCATATTGCACGCTTGGAAATTACAAAAATCAAATCCAACAACATAAAATTGTGCCCTTCTTTTGTGTCTTTTCATCAGAACAGAAGGACTTTTGAAAACAATGATGTATCAGCTGTTGCTTTTTAAATACAGAAATAATATTTTTAAAAAGCCATTCAATGAATTTTTAAATTAAAGCAAGGGGATGCCTACTTTACATTTTTAAAGCTCCTAGATCTCTCATAGTCCAAAACAAAAATAATATGAACTTTTTTCCCTATCTGGATATAAAAATATTATATTTTATATTGACATTCAGGCTAAATCTTTCCCTTATAAGGTGTTTGACATAAATAGTTTTTACTATGTAACGCTTAAAGAGAAGGAATACACACGTCTTAAAGGTCCCAGCTGCTATTGTTATCGTTCGAGACGTAAAATTGGAATCCCATCTTCCAATATCAAATTTTAGCACAAACCCTATAAAATGTATCTTGTCAGAATGTGCCAGACCCACTAAGCTCTTTTTGGCCGAATGCTTTGCAGCTGGCGGTTCATCCCCAGGGCTGAGAATCAGCTCTGTCTGTCCTCTCTCGGTCCCGGTTTGCACCCTGCTCAGAGCTGGCTGGGGAAGGCGTGGGTTTAGGTTATCCGTGTCCTGCGCCGCTTGACGGGGTGACATGGGTCTGCGGGGCCTGGAGATAGGGCCGGCCAGCAGGAATGCAGAGAATGTTTTTCTTCGGACTCTATCGAGGCACACAGACCGTGGGGATTCTGTCCGCGGTGACAGCCTTAACATTTGCCAGAGCCCTGGACGCCGCTGTAGAAATGGCATCGCCCACCCTGAAAGCGAGAAGGTAACGTTTATTTTTGTATTTTTTTCTCTCTCTCCCATATACAGACTGTAGAAAGACCACCAAGTGTGGACCATTTTTTTTTCCACCATGATGTACAATTCACATTTGTTAATCAAAAAAGTGCCCGAGGTCATCCACCTAGACTTTTTTTTTTCCCCCTTCTTAAACAGGAAACGGGTTTCAGATGTTTATATGTTAAAAAGTAAGGCTACTAATCTGTTTAGCCATTTACCAGACCCTGGCTAACTCTCTCTTACATCTTCATGTTCAGACCTCATAGAATGACATTCATTTTTATCACTCTTGTTATTTAGAATTAAAAAGAAAATCTTTCCATAGTCACCTGCTTTTCTGGGACACGTCCAACGGAGGTTAAAATAAATGAATCCAGTGGTTTAGTGATATTGTGCTCTTAGGGGCATTGCTGCTATGCAGCGGATTTGACAATTCCATACTTTTAGGCAATTCTTTAAAACTATCCACAAATAGGTGTCTGCTCAAGCATCTTATTTAGATTCAGAATAGAGATTCACAAATGCATGCAGTTAAGAGATCTCCAGAGAAAGAAAATAGTTGTTTTAAACATTAGATTCTTCTTGGGATTGGCGTATTTCCCCTGGTTCCTCCTCGATATGAAGCCCTGAGCCGGAACAGAGAAGAGCCCTTCCCAGGGAGGCCACACTCACTTGAAAAGCCTTCAACCTGATGTTTGGAAACCAAGGTTTTTGTTCTATTGCTGGAATTTTTTCCCCTCGCCCCAGGGCTGGTAATTTTAAACAGTCATCGCTGGCAAAAAATGTGCCCTTGTTAAGGGTGGCGAATCTATGTTGGGGAGGTTGCCGCATTTCTAAGCAAAGAGAGCCCGAATGAGAGGTTCGAATGCACTTGAAGTGAATTTGTTAGACTTCAAATCCCGGGCTGAAAAGACTGTTTTAAACATAGAACCCAAAGCAACAGGAATTCTATCATGAGCTGAACCCGGATCTGATGGCACCTACTCTTTACCGCCTGCATTTGACCAAATGCTTTATGTCTGCAGACCGTGTAAGGAGGCGAATGGTGGTTTGGGGAGACGTTTCATCAAGGAGAGAGAAATAGCAAAATTGAAATGAGCTCTTAGAATCAGCTCAGTATTCTCTGGATCAGTAAAAAAAAAAAGGTATCTGCAAAAATGAAAACAGACAAAGAATCATTCTTGATTTCCCCCAGATATATGTACATTTTACATATTATGAAACAAAAAAGGTTTGTTTTCTTTTTCATCAGATTTATTAAAAGAGGCTGGAAAAAAGTACAAGTGTAAAAATGAATCTGTAGTAAATGTCCAAACTTCTTTAAATGAGGGTGGGGTGAACCTGATAAGACAAAATTTTAAATGTATGTTTTTTGGACAAACAAAGAAAGCCATCGTGGTTTCTTGGGGGCAGTTTAAATTTGGCGTTCAGATGACACAAGGCTCCCCCTGCACAGGTGTCCGGGACGCCCAGCAGGAACCCGGGAATGATGCTACTTGCATTGAATCCCGGCAGAGGCTCATCCGAGGGGAGCAACACAGCCCAGACACGCTCCCCACGGCGGGGCTGCCCACCAGAGAACCCTGATTCTCCACGGAGGACCGGCACTGCTTGGGGGCCCTTCGGAAAGCAAGCCCCGGGGCATTCAGGCAGCAGCAGGGAGCCAGGCGGGACGTCCAGGCAGACACGGAAAGGCCAAGAGGAAGCCAGCAAGGATCAATGTGAGAGGACAGAGCCCCCGGGGCAGTCGCAGCTGCCCTCCTGCAGCCCAGCGGTCCGGGGCGGACTTAGCCGTTCCTTGGCCCTCCAGGGTGAGCACCGCAGGAGACAAGCTGCTCTGGGCCAGTACCTTTCTAAAAACAGTTTCTGTGGCTCCTGGATCGTTATGAACGGGAGAATGCCCATCTGTAAAGCCAGGGCCATCGCTGCGCCTACTCTCTGAGCCAACATTTCCCCAGCGAACACCTGGATGGTGTAAATCACCCTCAGTAAACACTTCAGGCCGTCCTCCCCCCACCATAAACCAGGCTGGCCTGCACTCGCCAGCACTCCCTCCACCCAGGGCGACCCCCGAGTCTGGGGGCAGAGTGCCCCGGCAGAGGTCGCTCAGATAAGGTACAGATACACTGCCACCTTACCCTGGCCGACTTGACCTGTGCTGGGGTCAGGGGGGAAGTGTTGTTATGAATGGGCTTTGTGGACCCTAGAGAGGGACCCAGGGCTACGGGCTGCTGGGTGGCTGTGCTGGAGGGCAGCATGCAAAGATAAAACCTAAAAAAAAAGTGTGTTTTTTAATATCACAATAGTGGAACAGAATAGTGATATATCTGAAATGCCTTAACGGAGAAACTGAAGCGGCATTCCCTGTGTGAAAACATCCTGAGTTGAGATATTGAAATAACTCTCCTCCCCACTGTCTTAAAATCCTTGACCACTAATGGACAGCCACCCGTTTGGTGTGATTGTCACAGATATGCCCGAACGGGAGTGCAGCAGGCAGCGGGCAGAACGCATCTCAGTTAAGACCACCTCTTTCGGAATTCTTTACATCCTGATGCTCTGCTTTAAAAAAAAAAAAATCTCCCTTTATAATCACCTGGCTAAGGGGAGTCTTTTCAATGGTATCTTCTGTCTTCAGACAGACAGACGTGAGGATGGGTAACGTGAGCATTAGAAAGCCGCCTCGGTGCGGGCTTCTTAGGGCTCCTTCGCTCTCTGCCCACACCACAGATTACAGAAATGTACAGAACCGGCGAGCAGTTCCTCTGCTTCGGATCAAACTTGCGCCAAAGAAAAATAACCTAGAGAAATTATTCTGCAGCCCGAGACGAAACCAGGATCAAATGGTTGCTGATCAGAGCAAATATTTAAATTGGATAAGTCAAATCCAGCATTATTAAATAAAGCTTGTTTAATATGTCTCGAACAGAAAATATCTTTGGAGAACGTTTTAAACCTGATATTAGAAATCTGGCCGAGTGCGTGTCTTGAAGCTTTCATCGTCGTGCCCGGGAATTTGTGTTCTTATAAAGAAAACAGTGATATTCTTCTCGTCTTTCCCAAGTATTTTTTTCCATGTCTAAAATGAAAGCACGAAGGTTTTTAGGTAGCTATTGAAAGTTGTTAATGCAATATAATAAATCTGAGACAACTGACCCATGCTTTAATGTTTATTCGTCAGTCAAAGTGCAGCCCGGCCACCTCGGTGACATGGGTGCCGAGCTACGTGCTGGGAACACCCATGTGTGCGGTGATGTTTTCCCACCACGGTGCAGTGGGGCAGCAGCTGACCCGTGCTCTAACCAAGCCTAAAGCCACTCTCTAATGGGTTTTACAATATTTATGTTTTCAATTTTATTTATAGGATACCAGATGTCTACATTCAAACGAAAAAAATCGTTTGGAATATAAAATCCCACCCCCTCCCCACAATTGCTAGCTAATTAGATATGTGCGCTTTCCTGCTGCCATGCATCTGTGCACACAAGCTGATGGGGAGCTTGGGTCTGGTGTCTTCAGAGGGCAGGGTGGTGGGAGACGGGCATTTTTGCCCACTTTATGCGTCACTGCAGGCTTGGCTATTTTGGGGCCGCATCCTCTCCTTCTGTAAGAAGGAGGGGCTGATAAAGTGTTGAGGCTCGTCAGGACAAGGAGATCCTCTGGCCTTTCGTGACCTTCCCCCTCTCAAGCCCCGACACAAGGCACAGGGTCTGCGGACCTGCTCCAAGCCAGGCCTTGGCATGAACCTTTCATCCTTCATCCTCAGGGCGAATACTCAGGCTGCATGGGGGTGACTGAAAGGTCTTTCAGAAACACAAGCTGGTATTTTTATTCACTTTATTGTTCTCATTGACTCGGCGCACAGATCCTACAGGGAACCCACGGCCCCCAGACCCAGTCCGCTTATCTGCCGGGAATGTACTCACGAATCATCTCCAAGCCATGCAAGACCCTGCAGGTTCCCTTTATTAACCCAACCCCTCCCAGGGAAGCCTGGTCGCCTTCCCCCAACGCGACCAAGGGACAGGTCACTCTTCAGCTCAGACCCACTTCAGCTACTCAGCCCGGTGCTTCCCTGGACAATGGTCTGGGCAACAAGTGAAAGCGTCCTCTCAGATGGCTGAGAGCCCCTGCATGCATCCACATGTCCCCTCCCTTTTTCCTGGAAAGGTGTCATCGGCCCCCTATGCAGACACTCCCACCCGCTGTGCTTGCTGCCCCTGCGGCCAGCAGCCCTGTGGATGGATGCTGAGCAGCACGGGTCACAGGCACCCGAGGGGGGTGCACAGGGACAGTGCCATGGGAGCGGGGCTCTGGGGTGGGCTGGCTGGCATTTCACCGCGCCCTCCCGGGAGTGGGACAGACAGGGACACTGCCTCTATGGGAGAGCCTTTCAGGCTGCTTCAGTGAATGGGGTCATAGGACCCGCCATGGCAGCTGCGGCCTTGCCCTCTGAGGGTCAGAGCAGGGGAGACCCAAGGGGCATCCCTGCGGGACTGGCTGCGTGGCCTTCCTGGGTGTGGAGCAGAGAGGCGAGGAAGGTCAGGGAAGGTGGAACAGATGGATGGGCAGGAGGCAAGGAAGAAAGCCCGAGGGCCAGACCCCCCTGGGGAGGGAGGCGGGAAAGAAGCCCAGGCCAGGCGGGGAGAACGAGGTGAGGAAGGCTGGAGGGAGGGGGCCGCAGGGACCCCCCGCCGCCACCGTTTGGCCCTTGCAGCTGCCTGAGTCTTGTCTCCTCCTGTTCCCACCTCAGACCTTGCGTCCCCGCCTAGTGGCTCTCAGCCCTGACTGTCCCTTATGCCCCCCTAGAGAGCCCCGCAGTACAGGTGCCCGCACCCCCGAGATGGGAGACGTGGGGCTGGGCTTGGGGGCTGGCTTCCGTGCTGGCCCCGCTCCAGGCAGGCAGTGTGCCCTCAGGAGCTGAGGCCCCCCGGCCCTGAACCTGAGCTTCAGAGTCAAACTCCTCTGGGCTGCCGCTTGTCTACCTGGAGACTCAGAGGTTTTATCTGCGTGGCTGGGGCTCGGACTCTCCATCCGGGCGGTCGGCTTGCCTCAGCCCAGTGGCCACGGCATCCTCAAGGGCACATCGCCTTCAGGTCCCAGAGCCCCGGGGAGGTAGCGCCTTCTGGGCTGGGTTGTGGTGGACAGACACACAGCGTGGGGACCATTTCCCAGATGCCCGCCTCCGCCCTGCCCCTTGGCTGCTTGGGTCTGAAGGAAATTCAGGAGCCCCTCGTTAACCTATGCACCGGCCTCTGACCTGGGGCCTCCCTATGCATGCTGAGAGCATGAACGGGACTGCCCCAAACAGGTCCTGCCCTGAGGCTCCCACCCTCCCCAAGCAGGGGCTCCCGCTTCCTCCTCCATCCCCTCCAGTTCTGGGCTCTGAGCATTCAGGTTGGGATGAGCTGGGATCTGTCTGCCAGTGAACCCACTTTTCAGATGGGAATACTAAGGTGCAGAGCAGTTATGAGATTAAACCAAGCTCACACGTGGGGCTGAGATTTGAACCCAGGCCATCTGGCTGCAGGGCTGTCGGCCCTCAGTCCCTTCAGGCACTTGACAGTGGCAGTTATTGTTATTCATTATGATCATCTCTTCTGGGGTTTGGTCAAAGATAATTTCTTATTTTTAAAAGACAGTTTATTTTGACATCATTGTAGATTCACAGGCAGTTGCAAAGAATAATGTGGGGAGACTCCTGTGTGCTTCAGTTTCCCTCGGTGGTGACATCCTGCACCATTACAGTGCCATGTCACAGCCAGGATGTGACATCAATATAGCCTGTAATTCAGGCAAAACTGGCAAAAAGGGGTCCCAAGGGACCTGGATGGGGCCTGCTCAGCCCGTCCTCTTCGCCTCTACCTCTCACCACCTGCCTCCCTGACATGCGTGTATCTGATGTTGACACTCCTCCAGAGGAGGTAAGCTCTGTGAGGCCCATGAGTTCTGTCTATGGGGTTTGCTGTGACCTCAGTACTAGAACAGTGCCTGCCACATACAGCTTTGTGACATATTTTTAAATGGATGGATGAACGAATGAACGATGCTTTCTCACAGAGAGAGGTAACCTTTCTTTGCTCTCTTTCAAAAACATTCTGTGAAATAGGCTGAATGCCGCCCCCGCCCCTCAGGGTGTGGTAAGAATTAGGCAGTGGGATGTCCAGCGTCCAGCACCATATCCAGTGGGGGTGCAGCCTGGTGAGCGTCCCCCCCAGATAGCCCAGGAGACTCCCTCTGCATATCCAGCCTGGGTTGCTGCCCATTCTGGAAGCCCCATTGCTGCTCTCCATCGTCTCTGGGGTTTGTCTGGCCCTGAAATGGCCTGTGATCTTTCAACAGTTAAGAGCAACGTGCTAATAAGAGATTTGAGAACGATTTGCATCACTTGAAGGAAGCTGGGTTTCTGGAGGTGGCATGGGTCTTAAGTACTATGCACAAAGTCTGCTAATTCTGCTGACTTGAAATAATAAACAGCTTAACACCCTCTATTGTTCTGGGGGCTAATGTAAACCAAGTCGGCCCTCAGCCCGGAACCCTGCTAGGATTCAGTATAACAGCGAGCATTTTACCTCCACATCAGGTGAGGCCCTGAGATGTCCGGCAAACAGCAGGGCTGGACTGGAGCTTGGTCTCCCGACCCACAGAGGCAGAGTTCCCCAAACCTCACACCAGCCCGCGGGATGACCAGGCTCCACAGGGGACCCTTTATGGCTTTTGTGGGTCATGATGGGCAGGGACAGAAAAACAAATACGATTCTTTCTCTTGTCAAATTGGTATTAGATCATGTTTCTTATAAAATAAAACATTCATGTAGAACACTTATTTAAAAAATGGAAATGTTAAAGGAATAATTTTATTAATTAATCTTGCCATCCTGGAATTAACTGCTTTGTGCATTTTGCTATATTTTATTACTCTCTCTCGTCTCTGTCTCTCACTATCATACAGTTTGAATTATTAGAGAATTTTAGATCCTGTTTTTTTCTCATGATTATTTTATCATGAAATCTCTCCGTTTCTTCTAGTATTATTTGGGAACATATATATTTTAAAATCAAGAAATCGAATCTTATGGTGGAAGATGGAGAAGGCAGAGGCCAGGGAAGGAAGATTTTGTCAGTGAGCAGAAAAGCAAGGACAAAAATGTGGGGAGGACATACCATTGTCTCCTTTGCGGTTCACTGCATATCTATTTAACTCATCCTCTATTGATGGGCACTTAGGTTGTTCCTGAATATTCACCTTTATAAGTAGTGATGTGGGTGTAAATCCTTAGACATAAATCTATGTGAACGTGTCTGTTTATTTCCTTCAGTAAGTACCCGACAGAGGAGTTACAGACCAGACGGTGTGGACACTTGTAAGCTCCTGGTATATATACTAACAAATCACCCCATAGAAAGGTTGTAAATTCATTTACCGGTTATCATCAGTACATGCAAGTGCTTGTCTCCCTATGCCTTTGTCACTCTGAGTATTAAGACCTTTCACTTTATTTTGCCAACTTAAGGGCAAGGATCTCGAGTCACCAGTTTGGTTCCAAAATTCCTGATTCTACTTCTTAACACCTTAATCCTGAACCCAGTCTCTGAAGGGAGCTCTGAACCATTAGCTGGAGACCGTCGGAGAGCAACTTATGGAAATGTTATGGAGAACCGGGTGCTTCTTCTGGAAAGCATCCAATTCCCTTTGGAGAGCTCAGGCGTCAGGCCTGGGACCACCTCTCTGGGCAGTTATCAATCACGTCTGCCTGTGGGGAATTTGCTGGAGAGGCCGGAGGCTTCTGATGAGACTCATAGGTGGGACATGGCTAGTGATTTCTCCCCGTTGTTGAAAGAAACTTGAGATAAGGAGCCTGCCCCTTTTAAAAGAGCAAATGGTCTCACGCAGAACCTTCTGGAGCCTGGAGAATTAGCCTGTAGTGCTAACACAGGGGCAGCGCAGGTCTGGCTTCAGCAGCTGGCCATTTGTGAATCTGACAGTGGCTCCCCCAGCCAGAGCCCCAGTGCCTGACCGCCCCGTCTGTTGCTCAGTGAGTCTCAGCCCAGATGACATGGGGCCTGGAGAAGAAGGGACAAGAACCCTGCCCTGTAAAAAATGAAAGACAATTCCAGTGTCTGGTGGGTGGCGCCGAGCC